CCCAAAAGTATATTTACAACGAGGCGATTTTTACAGCGACGTACAAAATATTTTTTATACTACTGCCCATATCGCCCATTTGATTGGTTGCTGTTTCCACTATTTAACGCTTACATGTAAATGCACCTTGCATGTTATGCAAACGTAGTTGCCTATGGTCGATATTCAGAGGCCAGTGTTCATAGTCAGATCTTATATTCAAAATCGTCTTAAGTATATTCTTAACGACACTGTCTAGATTCATAATTGACTTAAGATAAGTTTTTCGCCTTAAGCATTATCTTGATTAAGATTTCGTCTTCAAATAATAATAGTCTTGTATAAGTAATAATGTATCAATAAGATCGTCCTCGTCAAGTCTTGTCCAATGTGCTCTTAAGGTAATTTTATTTGAATTTATCGTTATCCGTTTAGTGAAAAGATTAGAGTACAGTGTGGTATCATATTATTTTAGTGTAAATAATTATTTTCAAATAAGATGAAAATTACAAAAATGAGCAAAATTACAAAAAAAATTATAAAAGTGAGCAAATTACTAGATTTTAACCAATGAAATTATCAGTATTCTAATAAATTCATTCATTTTCACCTCGTTTCAAGATATAGAATCATTCGTGTATATGTGACCGGACAAAACTTCCGGTTGTAAAAATTATTTTAAATCATTTATATTTCGTATGAAGAGTTTTGAAGTGCAAATAAAAAGGTTTATGAGTCATTCTATTAATTACAATTAAACATTCTTTTTTAGACTTTTTTTAAACATTCTTTTTGTATTTGACGAAATAATTAATTGGATCTAAAGTCAACAAAGTTTATATGTGGAATCGTTTGTATTTGATATGAAGAGTTATGAAGTATCATTAAAAATCATTTGTGAATTATCCAGACAACATTTTTAATTAAAATGTTAAAATATCATGTATTTGATCGAAATATAGATATAGCTATGGTCACGGAAATTCCATTAAACACGATAAGTAGTCTCTCTAATATTTTGATATTCCAGGACGTATTATGGAATTGTTTATGGAATGAGTTCTAAAATATTTTTGAGTCCCTAAAATATTTTTATTCATATATCACTTGTTATAAATATATTTTTTAAAAATTACTTACAAGCGAAAATAATTAATAAATAAGGATATGAATTAATCTTTGCATCATAATCACAATGCATAAATATTATCGACTATATGATTGATTCCATGTAGACAATCACCACCAGTAAAATTAAACAAAATTCTTCTTTGTTCATTATCTAATTTTGGAGGAAATCCTTCCTATTTATATAAAAAAATTAATTCCTTTATCAGATTTAATTAATATACTTTAATATATAAAAATATAATTGAAACTGTACAGCATTATCTGTTTTTGTATTGTTTTTTATTAGACATATTGCATAATCATCTTGGTTATTGCATTTTTTAATTAATGGAGAACATAATTACATATGTATCATCTCATAATTATGCTTAATGATATTTTCTTTATCTGAGTCAGTTTTGTTAAATTACATATAAAATTAAACTTAACTTACGTTCAGATACTTCACAATACTTTGAAGGAGTGACGGTTAAAACCTACAATAAAACAATTTCTAATTTTTGTATTATGTTTCAAAATCTGGTACAATTAAATCCTATAACAATAGCATTTGAGGTCTATTACAGAGAATGATGCAAAGAATTTTGTCTTACAGTGTTAATTACTCATCCATCTTCTTGATCGAATAACAACCAGAAAACGTATAATGGAATTATTAGGAATGGATTCCGATCAAAATAATTAAATTATTTCCTACATTTCTATTGTTTTTTAACACAATAGAAATTGTAGAAAAACTAGATAATTTCGATCGGAATTCATTCCAATATTCTATTCTATAATATGTTCTGGAATATTAAAATACTAAAGAGACTATCTATCGTGTCTAACGAATTTTCGTAGCGCCTATATCTATATTTTGGTCAAATACATGATATTTTAATTAAAAATGTCTGGATGACTCACAAATATTTTTAATAGTACTTCATAACTCTTCATACGAAATACGATTCCATATATAAACTTTGTTGAATTTAGATCCAGTTAATTATTTCGGTCAAGTACATCTAAAAAAGATTAATTATAATTAATAGAATGACTCACAAACCTTTTTATTGCACTTCAAAATTCTTTATACGAAATACAAACAATTTAAAATGATAATTTTTACAACCGGAGGTTTTGTCCGGTCATCACGTACATACGAATAATCAATTCTCATATATTTAAACACGTAATTGAAATGAATATCAAAGCCATTAATATAGAAGAAATTGAGAATATTGAAAATCTTAGAGCGATGAATTTCAAAACGTTATATCCGCAAATAACATATTCGAATTTTATGAGGAATCGGAATTTAAAAGACACTTTAGATTCTGTAAGGCATCTGTTTTATATGGAATATTGCCGAAATAGAGGAACATTTGATGAAAATAAACAATCGTGGTTTATCTATTCCTCCTGCTATACAATTATTAGTCTGTCTATGATTTTATGCAAGTGCAAGTTTTCAGGTTAAAAATATATGATATTTATAATAAATGCATTTCTCTTTAATATAAATGTATATCTCTTTTTTTAAATTAAAATAATTTTTTTTTAAATTATAGATAGTAGTTGAAGACACAGTATTATTGTCACAATCAACAGTGTCTAGAATTATTTTTCAGTTCTACTTGCTAATTAAAGAAATTATTAAGATGCCCACTACGCAGGAAAGAAGAAATGAGAATCATCAATTATTTCACGTTCTTGGTTATGATAACGGAACAATTTATTTATCCAGAATTGACAGCGCAATTGATTGCACACATATATACGATTAACACATACAAGATTTTATCGTCTTGATGAAGTTTATCGAAATAGAAAAGAATAGTTTTTATTAAATGTACAAGTATGTGTATTACTTTAAAATTAGTAATAATTATTTTAATAATAATTATTTCTAACGGTTATGGTATACATACAATACTATAAATTTGAATATTTTATATAAAAAAATGAAGCAAAATTTTGATACAAGATTAGAAAAAAGCTGATTTGTAATAAATAAAAAGAAAAAAAATAATAGAGAGAGATCTAAGTTACAGATTTATTTCGGGGACTATAGTTTTGATAAACTTTGAAAGATTAAAAATCGTAAAAAATGTAAATTAACAAGAAGAGATATATAGATACATATTTTAAAATTTTCGAAATTCAAGTAGTCTGTCAAAGGGGGTTGGGGATGTTTAATAAAGGCTGAGTAGTTTCAAAGGGAACTGATTTATGTATACATAATTGATCTTTAAATGTGTATAACTCTATATAATAAATTACATTACAAGATGATGCTCCTTGGCATCCCAATAGCATACAAAAAAATTGATATATTTAATATGCATGCGCTTTACATATTGCATTACAATTTATCTTTTTTTAGTCAGTTGTACTATTCTTATACAATTTATATTTTGAACTGATGTCGGAACATTTAAAATCTTTTCTTTTTTTCCTCAGAAATATCTCATTCTATGCAAAATATTAATGGAGAAACATGATTTACATATAGTAATCCGTTATTACAATATTTGTTTGTGTATAACATAGGTTGAATCATTAGAAAGTTCATTTCTGATATACATGTTATTTTGATAAATTTGACAAAAATGACATTAGAACTAATTTTGCTTAGAGAAATGTGACAGAACCAGGTTTTAACTTTTGATAATAATTGCTCAATTGATAATAATTGCTCTTTGGGTATAATTGCTCAATGTAGATGCTTATTTTCCATTACACAATAAGCTGCAAATGGGCTGTAAGAAGCTTTAGATCATCACTTTATCGTAAAAAGTTTCTCTCAAGTCAGCCTCGCGGTCACTACTTAAAAATACATAGAAGTACGGAGATCGGATATATTCAAGGATATGCTATTCGACAAGTTGATGCTCTTCAGCACACTGGATTAGAATACAACTGTAACGCGATTTCGATGGTCAATTTGATATGTAAATAAAATATCTCTAAAAAGAAACGTATGATAATATCCAAAAATAAATATTATACGTGTATAGGACAGATTGCGAAAGCGTTTTCTTTATCTTTTCTCTCAGCCTGTTAAGTATTATTGAGTAAACTAATGCAAAATAAATGAAGAAGCTAGTGTTGTTGAGGAATGAAACCAAGACAGTATACAGAATGTCTTTTCACTGACTGTTATTGTGTAATAGATAGAGCGCACTAAAAGCAGCAAGTGATGAAATTGTTTATTTTCTTCTCATAGAGCTCTAAGAATTCTTTTAGAATTTGTTATCAACTTTTAGTACCGCATTTTCTCATGTTGGTAAAAATAGTTATCAATAATAAAAAAATATAACGCTAAGAAGTTGATAAAAAATTCTGAAAAAATTCTTAGAGCTCTATGAGAAGAAAACAATTTTGTCACTTGCTGCTTTTCTATAAAATTGATACTTGAGTAAAAAATTATTGAAATGTATATAATATTGTCGGCGGTTTTTAGTATAATTAATATCTTGTAAACTATTGTGAAAATTACAAAATAATACAGGGCATTTCGACTCAGTTTAGTCCACTCCTATCTACTATATAATAGCAGTCAGCTAAAAAGTTATGGAACATCCTGTATTAATATGCTCGTGTTATTTATCATGTTATTTACTTTCTAAAGATAGAATATATATAGATACAATCATAATTTTAATCCTAATTTTTGATCTTCTTACTGTACGAACTTCGACATCCGACGTAAACTTAAAAAGATGAATAAATTAAACTTGTAAAGAATAAAACAAATTCTAAGCAATAATATACATGTTATACAGCTGAATATTGATTCTACTTTAATGATTTAATATTCCAAATCGATCATTTTATGTCACCTCATATATAAAAATTAAATTCTTTAGTTAAAACAGAATAATCAGAGGGTGCATTTTTTCACATTATTTGTAAAACAGCATGTATCCTGCCAGTCCGCCAGATGGAGCAAGTACGTATCCTGCTGGTCCGGACGGAGCCGGTACGTATCCCGCCGATCCGAATGGAGCCGATATGTATCCTGCGCGGAAAATATCGGTGCATATCCTGCCGGCGCTTGCTGAACCGGTGCTTGCTGAACCGGTGCGTTTCCTGCTGGCGAGGACGGAATTGGCAAATATCCTGCCGTAGCGTATAAATTCAGTGCCGCAGCAATGCGGACGGGCCGTGCAATTCGTCCAAATTTGGAACGATTTTCTTTGTGCTTTTGCTTTTGAATCGCGCAGTGTACCTCTTGTCTTATTTTCTGTAAATAAAAATTGTTTTATTGTACCTATTTCGTTTCTTTCCATCATTTTTATCAATCTTGAGGGAGATACCTTGGATTGTTCCAAAACTTGATTCTATCAACTCCGAGTATCTTTTATCTTTGTTGTTCATTGAATTTTGAATAAGGATAAAAGATGGATTGAAAAGGATAATTGAGAATTCGGGGATGCAACTTTGTATAATTGTATGTATTATACCAATATTGTACAACTTATTTTGCTTATGTTTCATTTCCTCCGCCGCCGTCGCCGTCGTTGCTAACATCATCATTGTCGCAAATGATGTCGGCATTGTTGGAATCAATGTTGCCAAGAGCAAGGGTTATTGAAGGCAAAATTTCCGGTGCCTCGGCTTTGACGAGATCATCGTCAGCCAATTAGGCGATTTTTTGCAGTTACCACAAT